TTCTTACCCAACGCTCGCACTGTACAGAACAATGCAACCTGTTACTTAAGAAGCCAGGGACCATGTCTGATAGCAGGCAGAGTCCAATTTGCCAGTGTCCTTTCCTCTGACATGCCGTGATGGCAGAGTTGTAGCTGATCCTGCTTGGTGCCCTCCGAAGCCGGATCTCTTCTAGCAGCAGCAAGGCTTCCTGTAAATGTGTTGCGCAAGCGATAGGACCCCCAAAGCTGGTCACTTCATCACAGTATGGGCCTTCAGGACAAACACACTTGTCAGGTTTGCAGCAGTATCTACTCCTTTTAGAGGCACACCGCTGGGGTGGTATAAGACGAGGGTGTCGGATAACTCAAGCTCATACTCACTCCGGGTATGTGACCCCCTGATAACCACGCATGTACCTCCAATAACACGTTTAGAACCTAGAAACATGCCAGACCATTTGAAACCAAGAGGTCCTGTGTCTGCTCCCCCTTGCCGCAAGCAGTAATGGCCGCACCAAGTGCGACCTGGTTTGGTGTTACGCGGAACATAGGCATCTCGCACAGAAACTGCAAAGCGGTTGCCCATTCATCACCTTTCTCGCAGGCACTGATAGCTGCGCTAAAGGTAAACACATCGGGCGAGGCAAGACCGAGGAGGTCTGAAAAGAGCTGTATAGCTGCTGGCCACTGGCTACCGCTGGCGCATGCGCTTATTGTTGCGTTGAAAGCTACAGCATCTGGAATCACCGCTGCATCACGCATGTACTGCAGGAGCTGTAGGGCGGGCAGCCACTCTCCGGCCTTTTCACAGGCCGTTATCGTGGAGCTGCAAACAATCTTATTTGGCCGGATTCGGATTGCAAGCATGTCAGAGAAGATCTGCAGAGAATGCTGCCAAAGCCCAGTAGCAGCACACGATCTCACTGCAACTCCAAACATGATTTGGTTTGCAACGACTGAGAAGTCAGAAGTGGCTGCAAGGAGTTGCAGAGATGCCTGGGTCTTTTCAGATTAAGGACCCTTTTGGGGGTAACGGCGAGAACATTTTGCTTGAGGTATGGAAGCACGCATCCTAATTTTGGGAAACTACCCACCTGCCAGGCCTGTAGCCTCCCGCAGCTGTTGATGAGTCCACCGAAGGTTCGCTCATCCGGAAACAGCAAAACCTCCCGAGCTTGTGCCAACAGAGCAAGAGCCCCTGGCCAAAGGCCATCCCCACACAGGGAAGCCACAGTAGCGAGCACCACTTTTGAGGGAGCTGTCCGTGGATCAATGGCATCCCTCCCCATTTTTGCAGCTCGTAGGTCTGACAGAAAACAGCCATTTTCTTGAGCCAGAAAGTCGTTAGACACACTGGTGCTCAAGGAGAGTGGGAGCAGGAAAAGGACTATAGGGGATTATATACGGATTGGAAAGCTGTAAGGTGAACCTGTCCTGTAAGATGATTGACAGCTAACCAAACTCTCAACTCTAGGTTGATAGCAGTTGGAGAAGGGGTCCCCTCTTGGATGTTCCAAGAATGAGGCCTTTATGTCGGGAGGATGTATAAAGAGGCCGGTGTTTTTGGAAATGCCCAGCTGATGCTGACACTGGCACTTCAATCTTGCGACTCACAGCCTTCGTGGGAGTGAACAAGCGTTTCATGCAGACCACTGCTGTACCACGCTTGACTACGCGGCAAGTTCTACATGAAGCTGTCGTAATCAAACAGTCCCGGCACACATGTGGACCCATCCCACTTCATCGGCATCGCCAATGGAATACCATGCACAGGCCTCATGGGTGTTGGGACATGCGCAGTTAAAAGCCAAGAAAGCAAAGAGCTGAAAGCGCATCCATCCCTCGGACTCGTTGTGTATAGTGCCCTGCATGCAGACCGACTAACAACTTGGATGCTGCCAGGGATCCATCACATGCTGGATGAGGAGGACCTCGGCTCATCTAGAGACTATCCATATCCTGGCACTACAACTACGATAGGCCCATACTTTGAAGCAGTGACGACGGCCTATTCCAGCGTCATCATGCATCCATGATTGCTTCGCCGGGGGACTTGGCATGAAAGCTGGAAGATGTTGGCCTTTGCGATGAGCGTCTCCGAGATAAGGCGCCGCTTCAAGCTGTCAGTGGTCCTTCGCTGAGAGGCCAGGAGGATCTCGTGGCTTCTACGCCCTAAACCCAGCAGTAAGCTGTGCCACAAGCAGTCCAAGGATCTTGTTCATCTTCAGAAACCTCACAAGCCTGGCCGCGAACTTCATGATGATCAGTACATACTTCACCTCGTAGGGGGGCTCAGGGTTTAGGTCTCCGGCTTAGGTGGCTGAGAGTTTTACGATCGTACTCCACCGCAGCATCTATGACTTCCTGCCAAATGGAACCGTATTGGATTCTCACTTTGCTTCGTTGGCTGCCCCTCACCCTTAATCTTCCTGCGCTAAGTAGGGAATGCTTTATGAGATAATGGATCCTTGCAGTCGTCCGCATACAACCCCTGTAACCATTCACTACTCAGCAGCCTAAGTCCCAGGCAATGTGGGAAATTTCATGTTCTTTGTCATTCCTTCAACCCTGAACCCTTCCAAGCAAGCAGCCAAGGGCTGCCGGTCAGCAAGCGCCGTGAGGGAGTAGGTATGCATGAGGTCCAGGATCCAGTCCTTGAATAAGAGTTTAGGGTTTGCGTGTAGTGTCTAGCTTAGGCTATTTGATCAAGGCTCGATTGTGACATTGATGACATCGCAGACGAACCAACCTGCAATAGGGCCAGATCTTACAAGTGCATCAACACCCCACGCCGAAAACACAAAATCACATCCCCCTTCCAGCCGATGATGACAATTACTGCAAGACCCCCGAACCCTGAAGCTAAACCCAAAACCCCGAATAATTCTCATTATCCAACCATCTCTACTCTACACCCTAGATCCGAGAACTCAAAACCTCAAACGTCAAGTGCCAGCCTCGCAGATAGTTGCTTGCAATTCTTCGGGGGTCGAGGATCAAGTTTCCGCACTCCTTGACTCCCAGATCTTTGCACTCGGTTTAGGCTAATGATCCACGCAGTTCCGGGAAGTTTCTTGCCAAGAAGCTTGGCCGAGCAAGAAATTCAACTCCATCTTCTGCCATCTCGCTTGCTACTTCAACACCCATGACGAATGATCTGCTAGGCACAGCTTAGCAAGCCAAGCAGCATAGAAACCCGTGCGGAAAGAAACAATGATGTCGACATTCCAAAACAACCTCATGGCTAGCGAGTGGATGTCATGGCGCTCGGTTGGGGACCAGTTTGGGGTGCCCTTTTGTGCAATCGCATTTCTACTTGAAAGTTCATGCCCGGTAGTCGGTGGTGTTTGAAAAATTTGTAGAATCGAAGGCCTATAGTGCCAGCGATGTCTTGTAATTCCTGCTGTTGTACGTAGGCTTATGCTTGGAACGCCAGACCGGGCTTTTACAATCCATGAACGCACGAGCAGGACACGGCTTTGACAACTAGGTATGGACCGGTGAAGCTGTGGAAGGCTGACGGGTGCAGGTGCCATCTGTTGCAGGTAGGTGACTGGATCACCCACTGAAGAACATACCTGTGCAGCACCAGAGCCAGCAAGATCCGTGTACCCTGGCTTACACAACTGCCCAAGTTAATGCTTATTGCATTGGGGTCTTTGTGGGGCTTTGCCAATCTCTGGGCAATCGGCTGAGCAAAATGAATTGGATTCGCTTCACCAAAGTGAACAAGACGGTTGCTGACTGCCAACTCCGGCACATGACAATGAATGGCTGAAACTCCGGCAGAACATGGAGCGGGATGAGGATCAACTCAGTGGTCAGCACCAAGATGCTCAAGAGGTCCTTGGTCTACTGTTTGGAGGGAGGTTGCGAAGCTGCATAACACCTTAACAAAAGACCACATTGGCAGTCAAAGCACTTGAAGATAAACGCGCATGACGTGGAAAACAGCTGACAAGTTGCTTCACCGACTTCAAGCAAAAGCATGCAATCTAGAGTGCAGATAAGCGAGGTGGAGAACGGAGCTGCTTCGGTACACGGAGCTTCACGGTCGTCATGTGGGTCTGCAAGCTGGATAGCGGGTAACGGTGGTTACAACATTTTTGACGCACATAACTACCAGAACGTGCAAGAGGCCCCAAACACTGGGTATACGTCCATGGTCCAAGACAAACCCCATAATTGCGAACCCTAATCCGTAATGGAACACATGCTGATTTCAGCAGGAGCCGCCCAAACAGCTCGAAATCTGCCTGCTGGCGGAACAAAGGTCCTGGCAGATGTTGGGGGATTCCAGAAATCAGAAAAAAGGGCTGCCTTTTGGGCAATGTACACAATAACGTACCCATGCATGCTTCCGGTTTAGAGCTTCTTTTGGAGGATTGCTGCAGCCTCCACAACACACAGTCCGGTCCTGTTCAGAACCTTCTGGCAGATGCTGTTCTTCTTCTTCTTGACGACCTGGACGCAGGGCAGCTTGCTAAGACCTTCATAAAAGATACTTACATGCTTATACTTTGGGACGCAAAGCTTTATGACTACCCGACAAGGCCCACCCACGTGTAGCTGGCGGATTCAGAACGCATGGCCTGCATCTGCCTCCGCAACTCTTGGACCCTAGCCTAAAACATCCTTAATCGCAACTTGCGGGTAGCCTCTGGAGCGTTCATCGACTTGACTGTGACAACTCCTGTTCAAAAGCGCATAGCGCAGAGCAGCATCATGTTACACCGAGAAAACCAAACACTCCTCCCTCTAAGATTGCTTCGTCTCCTCGTCGGCTCTGAGTTCGGTTGTTCATGCGGTCGAAGAGCTCAGACCACCTGCCAGCGCGATTTGGCGGACTGGTATTACTTCAAAAGAGGGACCTCCAGAAACTGTTTCTGCCAAAACCAGCAGCTGATCGCATGAACAGCTTAACCATGGAGCGACAGAGACTGCGATAGGTGCAAAATCCTTCCCAGGATCGAACGGCAAGCCAACAGACCACATCATCATAAGAATTCCAGGCCACAAAAAAAGGCTTTTGTAGATCACCCGTTCTAACGGGACTACAGACACTCACAGAAGCGTTCACAAAATCGCACGACTGTTGAGCCCCTTTTTTCAGCGCATTGGCAAAATAAATTCGGTAGAAGCCTGAGTCAATGCCAACATCACCCGATATGGCCCTGATACATGTAATGTTTGGTCCCGATCAGTGTGGGGAGCGTGCAGTGTGCGGGCTTTGCCGAAATTATTCCGCATCCCAGGCTTCAACAGAATCATTTTGAGAATACTTAAATAGAAACCCAGAAGAGCCTGTACCTGAGCCAATCCCGATCCCTCCTACTGAATTTAAATTAAAGCTTTATCCGGATTTGTTGGAGGGTGCCCTTCCACTATTCAGGGACCCTTTTTTGTTAGGGGAGGGGGCGACACTAATCGGGACCCCACATTATACCTCACAGCCCTATTCTTGACTTATATACGCAGTCGCCTCACAGCCCTATTCTAATTATTCAGGCCCCTACGCTGTGGGATCCTGACGTTTTGGGTCAGGGAACCTACTTATCAAGGGTTCCAAAAAGGTTAGAATGGGCCTATTTTGGGCATATACTACATTACCGAACCATTGGGATCTTCAATAGATAATAGCCGCCCCAAAGCTTTAGCCCAGATACAGAACGCGGGGCTGGAAGCCATCATCCTTCTCCCTGTTCCTCGGCATGTGAAGGCAGCTATTTAGAATAATGGAAAATTAAGAGGAAAAAGCAACTGAAGCTGGGTTTATGCAGTTCTGGCCTCAAACAATTAAGCATGGTTTTGGGGTATGTAGTAGGATAAACATATAAGGATTACAAGGGAACTATTTTGGTTATGACCTGGGCTTCTACATGTCTTGGACAGATTGATATTATGCCATCCTCCACCCTCAATCCTGAGCAACGTGCGGCCTCAGCCGCATCTAAGGGAGCGTCCAACTCAGATTCTGAACCCAAATCCCTAAACCTAAAGCACACTATAGATCTCTAAGCTTCGGGTTCGGAATGCCATGATGTTTCAGCAGCATCTCTTGCTCCTCACAGGGCTCGACAGGCTTGGCAACACCCCGACCAGGCAAAAAGACTAAACTGCAAGTGCTCATCCAGTGATGTGCCTGTATTAGACGGCAGGGTTGCAAACTAACCATAATATTCGGTGATGGATGCGTTGGAGAAGCGCTCCTGCTCATCCAATGCCACGATCGCCTGGAAGTTAGTCTAGGCGGTGTTTGGTAGGGAACGGAGGAAAGAATCCGTACAGAAAATCCGCCATCATCGTCCCCATAATCCGTTGTCCTACTAAGCACCAGGGAGAAGAAGTTCAATCCGGTCTTCCTGTTTCTGCTTTTGACATGGCTATCAACAATCTTGCTAGTATTGTACCGGCTGTCAAGCCACGAGTCGTAATTATCATTTATCCTCTGACATCTTGGCGCTCTGGCTGCTCTACTATCATGAATGATAAACACTGAACAGAAGCATTGCTTGTCTTGCTACAACTACAGCTGTGGCTCTCCGTTGAAATCAGGAATTGAAACGTCGGCTCCGAATATTGGAGGCAATAAGCTCATGGTGGAAGACTAGACATTTGGAGATAGAAGCGGTCTGTTTCACAAACAAATGCCCGGCAAAGTTGGAAACCCCCTGACAGGATTGGAGAAACAAAGCCCTATTGTACCCCTGCACTCGAGTCCTGCTATACACCCGAATCTGTGACCTCCCAGCATTGTACTGCACAGAAGGCAACTTGGCCTCATGAAGGCGCTGCGCAAAGTCCCTGGCCACGACCTGAGCTCTTTGCAACTCTGGGGTAACCTGAGCCTGGTGCTGAATTCCTGGCCCATCAGAGGTTAACCTTAAGTATAACAGGATGACAAAGTCTACTAACTTAGAAAACGATGAGTTTTATGGCCATGCTCCAGGCATGTTCTCGGGCAGGGCTCAGGGCTGGGATTTTGGCTAAGGGCGTCACGACCAACAACCACGAAAAGCTCTCAGTACTGTCGGCTAAATATTGGCTAGTTTGACAGGGCTCGCAGCCCAACTGCCCGTGGCTTTGTGGAGCCCTAGGCTCTGGGCTGATGGTAATAGGGTGAGACGGGGTTGGGGGTGGTGAGGATGCAAGGCCAAATTCTGATCAGTTTCGGGTCTAGGCATGTCTTGAGAACATCACCATGCCACCCAACAGGACTGATCGGAAATCCAATTAAAGAAAAAAAAAAAAAAAGAACAGCAGGCCTGGCTGAAGAAGCTAAAAGA